CCCCTCCTGCTGTCCCCCTCCCTGTCCGTTTTCTAACCTCTCCTTGGTGTCTTGTCTCCTCAGGTCCATTCAGTCATGACTCGCGAAGCAGTCAGTTGTTGGCGAAAGGGCGACGAGAGCAGCAGCGAATTCATTGAATAAATCCTCCAGAAAAAAAAAAAAAAAAAAGGAGACAGAAATTACATTGTGTGCTTCCTTAAGTTGACGTTGACCATCGCTCAATTTGATACATCATGGACGTTTTCTTGATTCCTAAAACAGTCGCCCTCTTTCTGTTTTCAAGTTTCGATATTTCCAGAGGGCGACTGTTTGCACATCGTTGTCAATCGTACCAAGTCTTCCCACCGATCCAACCAATGTACCCCTACCGGAGACCCCATCGAATCAAGGGTTCGATTCCGCTCAAATCGTTGCTGCAATGTACCCCTACCGTTGATTGCTTCAGGACCAGTAAAAATACTAAATACTAAATACTAAATACTAAATACTAAATACTAAATACTAAATCAGAACCCTCTTGATCCGTCGATGGGGTCTCCGGTAGGGGTACATTGAAGCAATGATTTGAACGGAATCGAACCCTTGATTCGATGGGGTCTCCGGCGAATGGGACAATGATCAGACAAATCAATGGCAGGGTAGAGGGGAGCCGGACTTGCAGCAGCTTCCAGTCATTAATTAAATGCCGTCGAAAGTAAAATAATGGCCGTGAAAAATAAGATAGTGGTGGTGAATAATCGATAAATGAGAACAAAAAGCAAATCGAATCAATAATGGAGTGCATGATGAGGAAGCAGTCAATGACGATAGGACCAATGATTGACAGAGGCATGGGCGTCAACGTCAATAACCGGGATTGACCAACGATGGTGCCCCCCAATGATTAACAGACGACCATAACGATTTCTTAACCCTGGCATGCGTATGAATCAATTATGTGTTATTGTCATTTTATTTTATATGAATGGTGTGATGGAGGAACGGGTGGAGCAATAGCACGATCGGCATGTGTGCAGGGAAACCGCGATCTGGACTAAATTGTCGACCAATGAATCTGGTCAACGGTACCGGCATTCCGCAGAGATAGAG